GCATGAGCCACTGTATCTGGCCCAACATGAGTACTTCAATGATGATAATAGTAACAATTTCAATTTTGGTTGTCTCCCGTTTTGGTGTCACTCACACTGTTTCCCTGGAGCTAGTTAACAAATAGTCAAATGACATTCTGGGGACTGTGCAAAATACGGAATGCTTTAAGAATTTGTGTGCCATGCTTAGGCAGCAGGCATGCTTATCTGTTCTGTATTGATTCAATATTAGAATATGTGCTGCTGAAACAGGTATAAAGCCCTGTTTTATACATGGATACTCACGAGTCATGTATAAAGCTTAGCTCTGTTAAATCCAAATTACCTACTTCAGATATAGAGAATTGTATTGAATGACTCCCTGTTAGGTAGAATTTTTAAGTATTTAAAAAAATTTGAGGTAGAGATGCAAGTATCCTGACAGATTTTCATTATTATGGAAACAGACAACTGGGCCAACTGCAAGTTGGTGCCCAGTACTCTACTGCAGGATAATGTGGAACCTTCTGCTATCTAACAAAAGCTGCTACACAGGACATAAAAAAGCCTCAAGGTACAGGTGTGATAACAAAAGGGAATGGAAACTCTGATCTTTTCCTACAACATTATTTGAACGTTCCTGACTGTTGAGTACAATCCCAACTAATATTTGCTAGAGAAAAGACAAACATAAGTCTCAAAGGATAACTTACCATGAAGGTCTAGGCTAAGCCTAGCTAAGAGGTAGACTACAAATAAGGTTTTTAGTTTTGAGAGAGGGTCAATTTACTCACTATGTGTTTGGGTAAAGTCAGGAGGCCTCGCTGCCAGAGCAGAATGCTGGGAACATTGGCTGAGTATATGTGCATGAACTAAAAAACACTGTAGCTGTGAACTCTGTGTATGAGTCACCATGAAGACTGAGGGATCTGAATCAGTAAAGGCATCCTGGGGGCAAAGGTCAACCATTACCAGATTGCAGGACCAGTTACAATGGCAGCAATACAGCAAGTGAATCAATGGAAACAACGGAATGATTAGAGTGTTTTTTTTTCCCCCTTCTTCTGACTTGTAAAGCAAGACTGTCTTCCTTGGACTTAGTGAACTCCTTAGCTTTTCGAAAAATTCAAAGCAGGAAGGCATAGGAGGTAGCCCCAGGGGACAATACAAGATTTTCTGCTAAACTGGACATTTCAAGACCCAATAACTAATTAGAAAAGTCAGCCAGGCATGTCGGCTAGCAGTTTGGGAGGCCAAGGCAGGAGAATCACTTGAACTTAGGAACATGGGCAACAT